TGAGGTGGGCAAATAATGAGGTCAGAAGTTCAAGACCAGCCTGGCCAAGATGATGAAACACAGTCTCTCCTAAAAATGCAAAAATTAGCCAGACATGTGGCAGGCGCCTGTAATCCCAGCTACTTGGGAGGCTGAGGCAGAGAACTGCTTGAACCCAGGAGACAGAGGCTGCAATGAGCCGAGATGGTGCCACTGTACTCAAGCCTGGGCAACAGAGCAAGACTCCATTTCCAAGAAAAAAGAAAATATGTTTCAATGGAACTTAAACTACTTCCATTATCAAAAAAATTAAAAACACCATTTTAATGCTAACATATCCTAGGAAAAAAACAACATATTTTTAAGTGATATAAAATCCATAACTTAAGTATTTTATATAATCTTTCTATTAATAGAACTATAAAAAAAAATTTCCAGTAAGATATTTAAGAAAAACTTAAAAATAAGACACTTCGAAACTGTGTATTTTAGTAATAGTTCCCTGACACAGATAAGATTCCCCGGTCCTCTAGCATTATGTTATTACTATAACTATACTTGGCAGTACTACTATATTTATACTTATTACATTTATGGTATATATTCTTATACATTCTACTTTAACTCAAATCCTTACCCTACTTAAAAAAAAAAAATTAACCCAAAAGGTTTTCAAAAATGTACTAAAAAAGTCACAAGTTAATTTGTTAAAATATTTCTCTTAGTTTTCAATAACTCCATTGAAATTTTAAAAATAAGAATCTTGAATTATTACATTACCAGAAGATCAAGGGTCAGCATTCAAAAACAAACTGTTAGAGATCACACTATATTACAAGAACTCTGATTACGCAAGCTCTAGCTGTTTACAACCCTAAAGGCATTACCAACAAAAAATACATTGTATTAACTACTTTATTTTTCTAATCCAAAACCCCAGGCATTGTATATCAAATGGCCATCCTACAAACAAAAAATTCTTTCAACAACTCTAATATAATTGAATCTGACAAAAGTATTCGGGCGATGACGAAAAATCAGTGGTTTGGATAAACTATCCTCACACCTGGAAAAGGAATATACATGTATGTGTATATACGTTAAAGGGCAAGTAAGAGAAACGTATTTAATGCTTTAAACTTTCTAAAGCTTTTAGGTCAAGAGTTATTTTTTCTTAACGTACAAATGTGAATTTTAAAAACTTGAAAGAAAATCCAATAATACATAGGAATAAGAATTTTTGAAAACAAGCAGTAATTGCTAAATTTCTGCCAGAAAGGAAAAAAGTGCAGACTAAATTGGATGGGGTGGGGGGGGGGTGGCAGGACAAAAACCAAAGCAAATAGGGAGTTCTGGGAGTCACTCAATTCCATTATCTGCCCTCAGGTAAGTAGCCTGAACCTGCCCAGTAAAGAAAAGCCAACTCTTAAGTCTTTCAGAGAATAAGAATTCTGAAACCAACATAGCTTAACATTCCATAAAATATAAAGAAAGACTGCTTCGAGGACTGTTAAAAGGAGGATGAAACTAAATAATTCAATATATCCTATAGCAGGACTCCAGCTCATTCAATTCATTCAGAATCCAATTCAAACAGAGGGTGCGAAGTTATGTAATGTCAAGCTTTACATTACACACTCCACTGGTATGTTCAGGCTCACAAAGATGCAAGCAAGAGCTACATGCGGCTGCAAGCACATATTACAGAATGCTTTATTTTAACGTTAAGGCTGATGAATCTTGGCCTAAGCAGGTAGGACGTCACAAGCACTGAGTCTGAAGCAATGAAGATTTATTTTCTTTAGTTCAACAAACTACTTAATCGCTTATCAAATTACCCTATATATCATGAAGCCCCCAAAACACAGTGAAGCCTCACAAGTTTTTCATGCTTAAGATGTTGTATTCAAACATCAAGTAACGCACAACTTCCCAAAAATATTTGAAAATGGTTAATTTTTTAAAATTTAAACTCGTTAGTGCATAATTGCACGGTTTAATATTAGAATCTGAAATCCAACGTTAAGCACTATTCACCATGAATCTGTCTGAATACGAGTGTTCTAAGACATAAAATCATTAACTAGCATTTTACACATTCTCAACATAAAACATTAGATTCCATTTATTTTTTCATCACCATAACCAAAAGCAATCAATTTGGCCAAACTTTTCCAAGTGAATTTTCTTTGCAAGCAATTTTATCAGCCCATGTCAGACTAGCATTAATCCCTCCAAAACAAGCTCTTTAAATTTAAATCATTTGTTTAATCTTTTAGAATGACAACTTTGACAGTAGTCAAATATTTTTAAATAAAATGTTTTAAATACTCAGATTGTGAGAAAAAAAAAAAAAACCTTTAAGGCAGGAGACCAACAATTACTGACACTTAAATCTTTCCAGAGCTAGTCACCGTTCATTTTTACAGCAGTAATTGTGATGAAGCCAATTAAAACCTACGTAGTCAAAGTTTAATTCAAGTTTTCTGTATTGGTCAAAGGGGTCGGGCTTACTAAAAAGCATTATTTCCATTTAGTTTTCTAATCATTATATGCAATAAAACTCCTTATAATCACTTTTAAGTAAAAACAAAAGTGTAATTACAGATAAAAATTAACGACTCTGCTAAACCAAGCTACAGATAAAAATTCAGAACTAAACAAAAAAAATCAACTTAATAAAATGTTAGACTTATTCCCAACTTCCCTCTCAACTGCAACAATAAAGCTAGGTGTCAAATGCAAAGCTATGATCTCAGCTAGAAAAGAAAATGTCTAAGGGACACAACACCTATAGCACACACTCCAACTTTCAAGGTCCCAATTACGAAGAAAGTATGCAAATATCATCGAAATCAGATTTTGGTCAGGAAATATAAACTGATGCATACAGATTGAGACTCCAGCCTTTGTTCAATAGCTTACGGATGGATAACTAAATGTGCTACAGGTTGATAAGCATTTACCAGGCTTATGCATGCTGCTTCCAAGCTTGTGAAAGGTACAAGAACTCTATATGCAAATAATCTTGGGTAATTTTTTTTAAACACCACTGAGCTACACACTCCGAAGGAAAGGCTTATTCACGGCTACTATTTATTTCCATGTTTACCTCTACTCCCTCCCCCAAACCCCCCCCCTTCACTTTCTCCTCCCACCCTGTCCCGCCATCTTGGGCCGATAGGAGCAGCCATTACTTAACTAAATGACAGTGCCAAGAACTTTCCACACAAATAAACAGAGACTACACCCCGAATCCTCCCCAGTCTCCCCTGACAGACACACAGGAAATGCGGCTCTAGGAAGAGAACACATTCACAAATAATTACGGTATTTCTATGCCAAAAAGACCCAAAAAGTAAACAAGTCACCTAACTTCAGGTAACACACGTTTCAATCGAGATACATGTCAACAGCCCAATGCAAACTCTTCACCGACCTAAACTCCGTGCAACTTCCCCCTTCTGGGAGCGGGGACACAAGAAAGCCTGAAACATTTGGTTAACAGTAGACATCACGAACAGCCTGCTTGAAGGAAAAGAATTTTTTTAAACCCGTGAGAGGCAAGTTAAGTTCGAAATTTGGAGAGATCTGAGCACATTCACTATCCCTTGACCCTAAATAGGCACCTCGACGATCACTGGCCTACCCCCAAAAAGCTAGAAAATAGCAAGCAGTTTTATCGACCCAGTGGAGCCCAGCCCCAAAGCGATCCCATCTCAGTTCCTCCAGCTACAAGAGGAAAAGAGCGATTTCGCAAGGGAGCAAGCGGGGTACCCAGGGGTGGGGGGAGAGCAGAGGCAGGAAATCGTTTTCCGGAAGCCCCTCGGCCATCGTCCGCGGTCACAAAGAGCGCAGACCCGGCCACGGGGCCCGGGGCGAGCGCGGCGCCGGCCGGGGAGACCTTGTCCGCGCTCCGACTCACGGCTGCCTTACCTTGCCCAGTAGGGCCTTCGTCCTGGCGCCATCTTCATGAAACCTCACGAACCCGAAGAGGCGGCTGTGGGAAGAGACACAGGCTGCTTGTTACCGCTCCGGGAACACCACCGACCCGTCCCTGCCCGAGCCCGAAGCCCCGGCGGAGGCGGCGCGGAGAGCGCCAAACCGAGGTGCCCGCCCCGCCGCCGCCAGAGACAAGCCGCACTCGGGCCCCCAGGGAGAGCGGCTATTGCCCGTCCGGAGCCGACCGAGCAAGTGACGGGGGCCCGTACCTGTCCAGTCCGCCGAGCGCCTCCCTCTCCTCGGCTGTCAGGCTGGGGGACGCCTCCTCGCTCTCGCCGCTCGCTTTTCCCGCCGCCATTTTCTTTTCCTCATCACCGAAAGCGGCGGCGGCAGCGGCGGCGGTAGCGAGCGACACTCCGCAGGATTTCATGGAAACGCAGCGAATTCACAACTCCAACGCCGACACCCCCCCCCCGGACCGGGGCCCGCAACGACGCCCCCAATCTGCGCGCGGGACCAGCACACCAACTTTATCGCCGCCTCCTCCTCCGCCGCGGGCGGCGGCGACGAAAAATCCCAACGCGGCGGCGGTGAAGGCGGCGGTGGCAGGGGCTGCGGAGCCCCCGGGTCGGCAGCGGCGGTTATAGGCTGTAGGGTCACATCGCGGGGTTGGGCAAGGGGCAGCCACGGGCGGGGACGGCGGGAACGGCAGGAGCGCGCGGGGCTGGGGAGCACAGGGGGGATTCGTTGGAGACACAAACTTCCCCGGCACCAGCACAAAGTTGTTGTAATTGTGTCACACAGCGAACCCCACGCCGCCGCCGTGACCCCCCCTCCCCGCCCGGCTGGCGCCACCAATCGGCGCGGCCGGCACTCCTCACGTGACCTTTGTTGACTCACGTCAGCCGTGGCTCCACTTAACTTGCTAGCGGTCCGAGCCCCGCCCACCGAGGCCGCCACCGAGAGGGGAGCGGGACGCAGGCCAATTCTGGCCGGTGGTTGGCTGCTGGGCGCGTCTGTCGGGGGAAGGGTTGTCACCTAGAGGGAGCTTCCTGTTAGGTTGTGCTGGTTAAATACACTGGGGCAGAGAATGGAGGGTCCGGGCCGTGTCACCTCGGGAACCGCGGCGGGCTGGGGCGGGGGAGGGGAGTAGTGGGGAAGGGCGAGGTCCGGCACCGCCCGCCGCGGGCGCGAGCAGCGAGCTAAGACGCCAGGGACGGCCTTTGCCTTCCCGAAAGCTCTGATGTGGGCCCAGACTGCGGCTGCGACTGTCCCGCGCGCGCTCCAGGGGTCCCGGGACCCCACAGGGCCTGGTACAGGTCGCGTAGCCGAGAGGCGGCGCACGGCCCTAAACCTCTGCCCTCCGAAGAAGGCTCATACTTTTGGCACAGCTGGAAATAATGGCCTCCGCAAGGAGTGCGCTCGGGGAGCGGCTGCCGGCCCCGTGTCCCGCGGCCCGGGTGCCGCCCAAGGCCAGACCTGCGCTGGCAGCCGAGATCACCTCACCCGCGCCGAAAGTGAAGGGGTAAAGGCTCTCTTGACCCCCACCCATACGCCCCAGGCTGGAGGGAATGAAGAGTCGCCCGCGGGGCCTGGGTCGCCGACCATGGCTCCCCACCGCCAAAGGTCTGTCGGCGGCACTTAGGGGCCAAATTTTCGTGCTGTGTTTACCCTGTGTCTTATCAGTAATTCATTACAGCCTTACAAGAAAAAGCAATCAGAAATTGTTACTCGCGATCTCCAGAATGTTGGGTTCTATTGCCCTGTTTTCAGTGGAGCCTTACAAAAGTAGGGGCTGCTTGTGGACAGACCTGGAAGAACACATAATTACATTCTCATCACAGCTGGTGGCCCAGTAAAGCCTTTCTGTCCCCCAAAACCTGCAGGTTTGTAACCCTTAGACATCCGTTAACAGTTTCTTGTTCTGTCTCTCAGGTGCAGGGGAAAGGCTTTCATCTGGCTTTTAATCTTTAGTATAAGTGAGAAAAAAAAAAACAGGCCTTCTTTCGACTACTCTTCTCAAAAGGCAGATTTACTAAGCTATGTCTTATAACAGGGATAGGAAAAAGTTAATGGACATATAAAGACATGATTCTCTTTATAAACGGAGTTTTGTATATTTTCAGTAGGTTTTCCATCTGTAACCAATAAAAAAGATGTATTTAAACTTGGATTTCAAAATATGAGGACAATTTAGTGCTGACCCAGTAATTCCAGTATTCAGCAGGAAGCTATGGGAATCCCAACTGATTTTGCAGTGTTTTAAATTGTTCCCCTGAGACTAGTAACTAGATGAACAAACTTGTAGTTTTGTATAGATTATATTTCATGTTTAATTACTTCCTCTGAAACACCTTTCCCATTCTTAATGATATTCCATTTTGCTTGAATGAGTGTGTACAGAGAGCCAAATCTTTTCTACGGTTAAACTAATACATTGTTAACTTTGTCGCAAATGGTGACATTCAAAGCCAATGGAATTTTCACCCTACTAACTCACTCTCGCACTCTGTCTCATACACATACACACACAGAGACTTGGACAAGCAGAGATAGAAATTTTGCTGGTATTTGACCATCTCCCTGAAGTTGACAGTCCTGACTCAGGTCCTTTTCAAGGATTATAAGGGTGCCCACTCCTCACTCCTCAACACCTTTCTTCCCGCTATTACTAGGTAATAGAACTACAAAGACTGGATGCAATGGGTGGGAGTTGGAGTGAGGCAGACCTGGATTCAAATCCTTCCTCTACACAGGCTGTGCAACCTTGAGAAAGTTACCTATCCTCTAGGCCAGCACATGTCTATTTCAACTACAAGATCTATCCTCCATCATCAAGCATGGGGCAAATTTCATATGGTAATGTAAGTCCTTACATCATACATATGTTTAAGTAGTGTGTTATCTGTCAAATATATATGAAATATATATGGAGCCTCTACGGTTTAGATCTTTCACTGGAGACAGAAATAGGGACATAGAAATAAATGGTTTTATAATAAATTTCCATGAAAAGTGAATCAGAAAACTCCTGTAGAAGGCAGAGTAGTGCAGCCAAAGGAGCATGAATTGTGGAATCATACAGCTCTAGGTTCAAATCCTAACTCTAGCACTTGATAGCTAGGCAGACTTGAACAAGTTAGTCTACTTTGAGCTTCACTTCTCTCATCTGTGAAAAAGAGAAAATACAGCCACTTTACAACATTATTTTAGATGCCATAAGGTAGGTAAAGGGCCAGACACATAGATTGAAAAACCTCAATAAAATAGGAAGATTGGAATTTCCAAATTTTTTTCTTGCTTTCACAATCTGGGTTCTAAATTTATCATTGCTCTACCCATCACTTCTTCCTTATCCCTCCACAACCTTACTATATGCCTAACACATAAGCAGTCCTAATCTACTCTGTACTTGAGGCATATAACCCCAGTATTGCTACATGTCTCATTTATTCTAAAATTCAGCCTTATAAGCCAGATGTGGTGACTCATGCCTGTAATCCCAGCACTTTGGGAGGCCGAGGCAGACAGATCACGAGGTCAAAAGTTCAAGACCAGCCTGACCAACGTGGCTAAACCCATCTCTAAGAAAAGTACAAAAGTTAGTTGAGCCATGGTGGCGGGCGCCTGTAATCCCAGCTACTGGAAAGGCTGACATAGGAGAATCGCTTGAACCCAGGAGGCAGAGGTTACAGTGAGCCAAGATCACCTCATTGCACT